TTGAATCATCTTTCCATTTATTCCCTTGGCCGGCCTCTGTTATAACTCCTTTCTCCTTGGAAATCAAAAGCGGATTGGAGCTTCCTATTCTTAACATGATACTGCTCAAAACGATCTTTAGAGTCTGATATTCTCATTTGAGTCGACAATGCTTTCTGCCATTACCACCAGAAATAACGGAAGGTGGTCGCCTTTTATTCCTATCGCCGAGTCCGAGTTATTGGAGTCGGAGTTGCTTCCTTGGCATCGCCCGAGTCCGAGTCCTTGCAATCAGGGTCTCATCTTTCGCGGGTTATAACTTTCAGAGCCATGGGCTGTTCATGGCCGCTTAGTGGCGTCATTAATTCGCGGTCCGGTCGTGTGCGGCGGAAGTGCAGCGTGCGGGTGACTCCATCTTTATTCTCATCTCGCTGACGTGCGTGTTTGAAGAGGCACCTGGAAATAACTGATCTGTCTCGACTCCTTCTTTTATCGTGGCCGACTATTCTCTTTGCTTATGATAAATCGGCATTGATTCCATCAGACTTCCATACTGGGTCCTCCGTCATCGACTCTTCTCTAATTCGCTTCATCTGGGGTCAGCAGTCTATCAAGCGATAACATGATTTCACATGTTGCAATTCCCGATACCCCTCCTTCGAGTTCCCATCATCATTCGTCGGAGTCGCGAGTCAGCTAGACAACTTGGACGAGATGGTGGATTTGCTCCCAGTCGGTGGCCTGAGCTTTCTCCCCAATACTATGACTTCTGCCACAGTGTATCACTTGTTGTTGCCCAAAAAAGGTTCATGTTGCAGCTCTCCTTCCTATGGTTAGCGATCTGATATAGAGCCTTGGATACTTCCGTAATGTCCTATCATCAAAGGATCGGCCACCAACACCGCAGAATCAACCTTCGCATCAGACGAAATCAACAAAATCTGATCCGATGACACATCAAGAAGCAAGGCGAGTGCTGGAACTGGAAACCTGAATCGTGATTTCTGCACGCGAACTACTCATGTAACTTTCCCCGTCCGCAACGGCCCTCATGCAAAGTATTACTGCACATCACCTTCCCCGTCGACTCCCCTTCTTCTTCTGCGATAGCAGCCGACCCCGACGCTTTGCCGACTTCCCTCTCGTAGTCGTATGGAATTCATGGGAGTTGCCTCCGCTCTCCACATCCGAGTTCGCGTCATCGGAGTCGAAGTTGCTCTCAAATCACCTTCATTCACACCGTCCGAGTTCGACTTCCACAGCCTACTGTGAGCCTTTTGATATGCGAGGGGATGCAATCAGGGGTGCTCAGTAGGATGTCGCTGAGGAGCAGAACGCCAGCAATAGTTGTTTTCGGACGCAGTCGGGACACACAAAGGTTGTCCTGAGACTCAACTGATAGTTGCAGAATGCTAGGAGCTTCTTGAGCTTAATCGCCAATGAAATATGCCAGTTTCTGATTTATCGACTGTCACTTTTTCTTCTTTTTTTTTTTTTAGTCAATGGACTCATCGGCGAAGTTTTTTTAATTCGGAATTGTTGTAAGTCACGTGCTGCTGCTTCAATTCCCACCATTTGAGAATTTCATTTTGAATAACCCTTTTTGAGCCATCCGAATGCATGATGGCTAAGGCATTTCATATGCCTCAAAATTTGTCTTAATTGGTTATTGTGCACCTTACTGATCCCAAGGGCAAAACCCCCACGATCGTTGTCGGCGTGCTCAATTGCCTCTTTTAACAACATACTCTTATCGGGCTCCATATAATCAAAGCTTTTCATATAATCAAGAGAAAAAATAGAGAAAATAATTGTGACCACGGTGTCTACCGTTAAGGTCGTGGTGGGGGAACCATTTATTCGGCGTCCCGACTTCTTGATTCCCCCGGCCGAGTCCCTCAGTATGAGGGACCGACCACTCTTTGCCAACAACTACCGAGTGTTTTAACCTAAATATTACGTCTAATTTCGGGGTTACCTCTTGTAGACCTCAACGCGCGGTCTCCTTTGCTTGATTCTCCTCTAATCATCTTCTTGGTCCACGGCTCTCCGTGAACCTTCTCCATCTCCCATCCGTAGTGACCGGACGCTCTCCGAAATTGCTCAGGCAAAGAGGTAAACGCGACCTTTTGTCACGTTCCCCACAGACGGCGCCGGTGATGGTTTTTGGGTTTTCGGGCCCAAGGAGGTCCAACACAACCTTTCAGCTGGAGGATACACCTTTCAATAAAGCTTGCTAAAATAATATGGGCTCGATGATTTTTACGTGGAAACCGAAAGGTGAAAACCACGGGCCTTTTTGGGCGGTGCCAAGCCTAATTCCACTATGCATTTGGTAGGTGTCTTTTGTACATATTGTATGGCTATTTTATATATAGGAATATTGTGTAGGGAAAGAACTATACTTTATACATAGAGAGGGAGTATTCTTCTTGATGGAATGATGGTGGAGTCTTCTTCATGTGTGGAAGAGTGATGGAGCCTTCTTGACATATTGTGGAATGAGGCCTTCTTGGGAGAGTAGTTGTGTGAGAGAGGTAGTAATCTTCAAGTATGTAGGAAGAGTGCTTGGGAGAGTCCTCCCATGTGTGTATGAGTGAGTGAATGGATGGCCCCCCCTTTTCTTCTTGTCTTCCCCCTTCTTATAGCTAGCTCCTCAAAAAGTGTCCGTTGGGGCATTTAGTAGAGGATTTATGGGTGGTTTCAAGAGGGTAGTGAATAGGTGTTTATGTTAGGGGTTATGGATAATAATAATAATAATAATAATAATAATAATAAGATGGGGTAATAAGTGGGAGGTTAGGAATGGTGGGGTAGTAAATAGGACTTTTAAGGGTAGATAATTAGGAATTTAATAGGGGCTAACGACTAGTTTTAGGCCGACCCTCCACCCGTGCCGATTCCACACTCGTGCCGACTCCCGGGTCGAGCCGACTCCTCGGCTGGTCCCGTATCTCTTTTGGGCTTACTCCATTTTCCTCTTGGGCTTTGATTCTTCTTCTTGGGCTTGATCTTTTTTCTTCTTGGGCCCCGAGCCCACGGGGTTCACACCCCATCAAATATATTTCTTACCAGTGTTGCAAAAATCGCGCCTAAGCGGTGGGAGACCGCCTCGAAGAATGGCCTCGGCGGCCGGCTAGGCGGTTGCCTAGACCACGTAACCGGCTAGGTGGATGTCGACGTTTAGGCCATTCGTCTCACCATATAATAATATTTGAAACCCGAGTCATCCCCCACTCCCAGGCCACTAAGAAAATTCAACGCTACTATTGCCAACGTTTTAATTTACACGTCCCTATTGTTCAATCATATATGTAATTAATATATTATGAATGGAACAGTAAAGTAACGTGTGAAAACTATATGTCGGGTTTTGAACGATGATTCTTATATTTTTCAGGGGCTGATAGCGTTGACATCAACGGCGATGGGGTGGCCGCAATAATGCCCAGAAAATAAGCTCTTCTTCCCTCTCATGGCCGCTTCACTTGATTTCACTGGGCCTGGGTGGCTATAACCCATCCTTGCAGGCCTTCGCGGCGGATCAGCTTGGAGATGAAGACGACGGCGAGCTGCCGTCAACCAAGAACGGCGACAAGAGCTCCGTCAAGAAGAGTTTGTTCTTCCAGTGGTGGTATTTCGGCATTTGCTGCGGCAGTCTTCTGGGAGTCTCAGTCTTGTCGTATATCCAGGACACAATAGGATGGGGCGTTGGCTTCGCCATTCCCACCATCGCCATGATAGCTTCCATTCTCGTTTTCTTGTCTGCCAACCGCCTCTACCAACACAACAATTCCAAAGAAATATCTCTCGACAAAATGATCCATGCCATCAAAGACGCGGCGAAATGTCGCTGCCCAGTACCAAACCAGACACTGATCATGAGCTTGAGTAAGTCTTCCGTTTCATTTTGTTTTATCTTTTTCCCCACCAAGAATAAAACATAGGCATTTCCGTTTTATTTTGTTTTATCTTTTTTCCCACTTTCAAAAGAATAAAACAAACATAGACATTTCTCCTATCGTTAGAATTTTCTGAAAGGTAACTATCTCCGTAAAGTTCTAAGCTTTATTAATTTGTTGCTAGGCTTCAAGAAAAGCCACTGTGCAGTGAAGATTCAGATGAAGATGACAGTAAGAGTGGGGAGAAGAAGGTGCAGGACAGTGGCGGCGGCATCAATGTCGCGAAGATTGCGCGAGTAGTGATCCGTTTATTACCTGTCTGGACGTTGCTTTTAACGTTTGCAGTTATCTTCCAGCAACCAGCGACATTCTTCACCAAACAAGGCATGACGATGAGGAGAAACATCGGACCCAATTTCAAGATCCCACCCGCCGCGCTTCAGAGCGCGATCACAGTGTCCATAATTCTTCTCATGCCTCTGTACGACAAGTACTTCATCCCCTTCGTTCGCGTCTTCACTCTCAACGACAAAGGCGTCACCGTCCGGCAAAGAATGGGGATCGGAATGTTTCTCTCGGTGATAGCCATGGTGATTGCCGCCTTCACGGACACAAAGAGGCTCGAAATCAGCAGAAATCCCGAGAATCTAAGCTCAGAAACAGTGCCGATGAGCATATTCTGGCTGCTTCCGCAGTACATCCTCCTCGGAATCTCCGACATCTTCACCGTGGTCGGGATGCATGAGTTTTTCTACTCCGAAGTCCCGGCGAACATGAGAACCTTAGGAATAGCTCTGTACACTAGCGTCTTTGGCTTCGGAAGCTTCTTCAGCTCCATGCTTATCTCCATTGTCGAACATTTCACAAGCTCCACTGCAAATCAGCATGGTTGGTTCTCTGATGATATGAAGGAAGCCCGTTTAGATAACTATTATTGGTTTCTCTCCGTGTTAAGTGCTGTCAGCTTGATATTATTTGTAATCTTCTGTAAGTTTAATCGTTCTTGAAAAAGTTAATTTCAATCTGGATTTTATTTTGCTCTACTAGCTTGGATTGGACTGTGTGTAACATATGTAAATATTATTTTTGTAATGTTGCGGCTAGCTGGTTGTACAATCATCAATCAGTCTTCTAATTTAATATGCAATGTGAATTACATAAAATTATTAATATTAAGCAAGAAATCTAATTATTGTTGTTGTACGATGAATCAATCATAAAGAAACTGGGGATTCTGCTGGTTAGCACTACTGGAAATTCTGAAATTTCCGACCACCTGAAAATGATCTTAAATTAAGTTGATACTAAAAAGTTCAAAAAGTGGTCGGAAATAGCAACAAAGGTTTTTCCGGATACCAAAAGTGGTCGGAACAAGACTTTCAACTTGATTTAAGATCACTTTCAGGTGGTCGGAAATTTCAGAATTTCCAGTAGTGTAGGAATAAAGAGTTGTGATTCCTTGAACATCGTCCTCGTGCAATACTCTGTGCTTGACACCAACTTTAATAGATGGCCACATGACAGATTCGGGTACGTTACTATGAGCAAGTCCGAGGAGGTGTCCGATTTCATGCAACGCCACGGACTGGATATCCATCTGGTCCGGCAAAGGATTTGCGGACCAAGCCTCGTCAGCATCGATGTGAAACGTGCCGCCGGTGGGTGCTGTAGCGTGGGCCAGGACTCCGAAGGGGCCGTCAAACGGGTACCCATCGCCGTGCTCGCCGACCATCAAAGCAATCTTTAGATCTGCCTTTACGTACTCGGTTTCCGAGAACGAGAAATGGCTCTTGGCGGTCCATTCCGCGAACGCCATTGCCACCTGGGGGAAGAACTGCGGCGGCGTGCCGGGTGTGAATCCATATGTCAGGTGGTTCTTTCTGTCCGGCCACCTCAGCTGGCCGTCGAAGAAAACGTAACGCGAAACGGCGTGAAAGGATCCGAGCCGGCGGCGGCGGATTATCCCTGAGGGACGCTGCATCTAGTTCTGGCCGTTGACTATATCCGCCACCCCACACCGCGGCGTCGCCATCAGCGACACGGTTTCCGCGTCCAAAACTCCGGTGGCGTTGAGGCGGTGATTGCTCTGGTAAGTTTTGACGGCTGACTCTAGGAAATCATCGAAACCATCATTTTCCTCTTCTCCATTAATAGTGAAAAAATCGTCCAAATAACCAAACCTTTTAAGATAATTCTTGAGATGTTTTAGCCCTTCAGCGTTGTCACCTTTCCGACATCCTTGCAAACGTTTGATAAACTCGAATGCGGAAGGTGGTTTCTCCCCCACCGTCGGCGGCTCTGCGTGGGAAGGGAATAGGACGATAAGTAAGTGTTGGTTTTTGGGCCCAGGGAGGTCCAACACAACCTTGGTCGGTGGATTCACCTTTCACAAAAGCTCTAAGAAAATGCAAGAATAATTGAAAGTGTAGCTATAAGCGCTTGTCTTTTCTTACTGGGCATGGACTCGCCCCGATTACAAGGGTGATACATTAAACATTGCCTTCAAGGCTAATTACAGCATAAGACCGTTCGGGCACCGCTATTGTGTCAGCCAACGGCTCTTTGGGCCCCTAACGGTTCATCTGGTCGAGTCCCCTTAAATGTCACATTAAGTGCTCTTCAACGACTTTTGGACTAACTTGAATATTTCTTTACCGGCTCCTGGGCCGAGTCTCTTTCTCCGTTTGGGCCAGGAGTCGGCCCAGGCCACCATAGGACTTCTTCTTTTACTAACACATATCTTTTATTTTGGGATCCTTTTCTTTTGGACTCATCTCCTTGGGCCGGGGTCCTCACCCATCAACTAGTCCCTCACTTTCTCATACCTGGTCCACTAACCCGGGTGTGGAAAAGTAGTAACTATTCCCTATCCTAACCGCCGGATCTTCACATTGAATGGACCTTGTAACGCCCTGATTCTTTGCCATCTCCCCGGATTCAACGGAGCCGTTTGGATTCTCCCCTCCTCCGAGAGGATCCTATAAGTAGCCTTTTGGCCTCCTCATATTATCTCACCAGTCAATCATGGGTCGTTCGCCTTGGAAGGGAAAGCGGATTGACTTCGGGTCGCCTCGACGCCCTCTACCTTCCAAGCGATCCAAACCCGAGAGGGAGAACAAGAAGAAGACTCCTCGATCAGTTTCGCAGAGGTCTCCGACCGGCGCTACTTCTTCCGTTCCACAGCCGCCGACTCCTTCTCGCACGGAGAACGTTCTGACTCCATTCGACCCACCGCCATCGGCTACGGCCATAATTATCGCGCAGGACGGGTCTTTCGTGGAAGTGGCCGTTCCGGAACAGCTGGCCTTTCGCATGACCTTTACCATTCCTCTTGACCACCTAGATGGGCCGGCTACGGACCTGATGTCTGATGCTGACTTCGCCCGGTACCTAGAACTGTACCCGGATGACGAGGAGCCGGTGGTGCCACCAATCATGCAGGCCTTTTGGGACTCTTTCTGCCCATCTCCCACTGGGCCATCGGGGGAGATGTTCTTTGGGAGCGACTCTTCTTTTCCTGGCGAGTGACTGCCTGCGCCTGGATCCGCTTCCTCAATTTCGAGAGGGCTATAAAGAGCACTTTTTATTTGTTTCTGGCCGTGATGTAATAAGCTCCTTACTTTATGTACTTCCCCCCCTTCGATTAATAAATCATATTTTTATCCTAGAAAGTTCTTTTCTTAACTTTGCGCTCGACACGCCTTCCCGGCTGGCTGATCTGCGAGTCGGCCATCTGGACAGGCCTTTTCAGTCTGACATATGCAATATTCCCCGTATCTCTAGAGAATCTTGCTTTTCCAGTTAACGTGCGAATCTCACTCTTCTCGAGCGGATTTGCTGGAACCGTTTTCTGACAAAGATTCCTGCCTCCCATCCAATCCGGCCTTGTCACGGCAGTTATGATTTTCTCCGTGATTCCCGCCTTGGTATCCGCCCCTTTGAGGCTATATAAGGGCCTCTTATGCTTGTGATCCATATCGCTCCTATTTTTAGAAGTCTTCGATCATGAGCTACAGAATCGGCGATCGTCGCTACTTTATTCGCAACAAGGAACATGCTCGCCTGGAAGAGCTAAGGCAGAAGAGATTGGCCAACGGCGGACATCTAGTGGGCGACTCGACCTCTGATCCCATCGTGGTGTCTCTAGACATGCTAGATTTGGTCTCAGTGGAGCCAGTCGACGGCAAGGTGGAGCCGGTGGTGGATGACTCTGGCCCAGAGGAGGAGGAGGTGTGGGAGGTCCCTCCTCTTTTTTGTGTGGCTATGTCTCCGAGTGCTTTGGAAAGGCCTTTGCAGATGATTGATGATGGGAAGCCAGCCATTTATCTGGACGAGGTACTGGATGGTGGAAAATGATTTGAAAATTGTATAAATAGTAGATGAATTCTGTTGTTGAGACGTCCAATTCTACGTTCATTCTTCCCCCCTCTAGATTATTCTTTAAAGTTGTTATCAATGTCCATTCGTGGCTAATTTCTTTAGCTTGGTTTAGTGGATTGAAGTCCCGGAATTGATTATGCTGTAAGATTATTTATTTATTTTTATTATATAATTTTATGCATTTGAGTATTAAATATTCTTCTAAATTATTTTGAATAGTTGTATCTTTTAATTGCTAGGAGACCTACTAGTTATTTATTTATTTGATATAATTATTTGCTATATTAGTTAATGTTGTGCTACAAATTATTCTAATATTCAGTAGCAACTGAGGTTAATTATTGACGGCTTAGTGATAATTGGTCTCGGGTAGAATATTTTCCTAAACTAAATGCACCTGCTTGTGCTTGTGTTATTTAGTTTGTCGGTTTTCCTAGTTCATATTGCTGCTATTAAATTAAATCTATAGCGCTTGTCTTAGATTATTTAGTAGTTAGGGGTAATTAAACCGCGTGTGCTTTAGTTATCTACAACTAAGTGAAAACGGAAATGAAATCATTTCACGACAAATATTCAATTGCATATTAATTACATTTTGAATCAATGATCAGTGCTAAATTCCGGTGGTGAATCTTTACTAACCAAGATTTTCTATTATAAGTGTTTTTAATATCGTGTTCTTCATCGATTTATCGTTCATTTAAATTTCTCGTTTATTTAAATTCCCCTTTATTTAATTTTTATTCTCATTATATTCCAAACCTCCTTTCCTTTAATTTGAGCACATATATTAAACTAGTTGATCCTTGTGCGATCGACCCTTACTCCCGCTACTACGTTTGTAAGGTTCTAATTTGGGAGCCTACGACAGCTCGCCAACAATAAATCAAAGGTCTAAGTCCATAAATTTGGAATCTTAATTAATCATACACCATAACTTCTCAAATAACTTCAATGTCCACTTTAAACGAACTGAACATAATGAGTCTTATATGTTTCACAAAATTGTTTTGAGCCTTACAAACCAAAATAGCACATGATCAATTTTAAGGAAACTAAAGACTCTATTACTCACTGAAGAATTTATTAAATGACAGTGCACCACAAGTTAAATGCGTTTGTTCTAATAAATTCCTTAATATTGTTACAACATTTTCATAAATATATTGCACAACCAAACGTTAAATAATTTGAACTCATGAATTTATAAGAACAAATAAAATATTAATACTTGCGGAATTATTTGGACTTATTGTTTGACATACAATCCAATTTGGGATGTATAAAGACAATAATTAAATCCATAATCTTTAATGGAGCATCTTAATGATCTTTTTCTAAATGATCACTCCTACTGATTAAAATATTTTTCAGAGAAACTTAATAAAATGTATATACATACTCATAATTGATTTGACCAACTAATAAATGAAAATATAATTCCCCACCATTAGTTGGGCATACTAAATAATCAATTTTTTGTTCCAATTAAGTCCAACTTAAATAATGAAGATATAATTCCCCACCATAGTTGGACATACTAAAAAAAAAAAAAACACATTTCAAAACCAAGTTAGAATTTGGCTCAAAAGATACATTTTATTATTAATGGAATCCAAAAGAGGTATGTCAAATAACGTAACTTACTACAGTTAGTCCGAAGAACCGAGCAAGCTTCGTGGATCGATTAATAAAAGTGGCTAAATTTTGGGAAGTGACTGAATACATGTTTTGCCAATGCAAACCATGAAACTTATAATTATAATTGAACTAAATTTTTAAATTCTAAGAATTGTGATAAAATTATTATCTAATGGGTTGATGGATTTATTGACATAAAACTTACCTGTGGGCTAAAGTTTTAATTCTATTAAATCCAATTAAACCCTTATGATAATATTTTTCACAACTGCTAAATAGACAGAAGAACATATTGACATAAAACTTGCCTGTGGCTAAAATTTTACTCAATTAGATCCAACTGAAAGATTTTATTTATGATGAAACAATTATCAGATGAGTTGAAGAATCAAGTGACATAAAACTTGCATGTGGGCTAAAGTTTTAGTCAATAAGATTCATTATAACCATTATGATAAAACTTAAAGAAATCATGTGCCTTTTCTTAATCCCTTTGGGCAAATTAAGAAATATGATCTGAAGTTTACATCATAAAATTAAACTTTATGATAGAATTAAAAATCATTATTTACAAATAAATTGATCTATTTTTATCATCACTGATAAAACTACTAAACTACATTCCGATACATAATTGTCTATGGGCTAAATTATGACCGTAGTCCAGTATTTCATCCTAATTAATTAGAGTTAATACCCAAAATCATCCTCGACTATAGTGGTTTTTCTCAATTTCGTCCTAAACGACTTTGGTGACCTAATATCGTCCCAGACTTTTGTGTTTCGCTCAATTTAGTCCTCCATTTGTTATTCCATCAAATTGGTGTTAAATTAAGAGACAATTCAGTAATGTCAATATTGATATCTCTTTACTTTCAACTTGTGAAGTGCGAAATTCCTCTTTCTTGTACGAATTACACCCAGAATTACTCCCGGACCTGCAAATCAAATTTATATTCGCAGTTTTAGGAGTAATTCTGGGAGTAATTCGTAAAAAAAAAAAGGATTTCGCAGTTCACATGTCTATGAGTAAAGATATGCTAATATTAAAATTACTGAATTGTCTATTTATTTAACACCAAATGGACAGAATAACAAATGAGGGACTAAATTGAGCAAAAACACAAAAGTCTAGGACTAAATTGAGCGAAACACAAAAGTCTGGGACGATATTAGGTCACCAAAGTCGTTTAGGACGAAATTGAGAAAAACCACTATAGTCGAGGACGATTTTGGGTATTAACTCTAATTAATTATACAAATATAACGAAATTGTTTGTGGGCTAAATTCCATCATATTACATACAATTAATCACAAATGATATGTCCAAAACTTTATGTGATCAAAATAAACCGCTTCATATATAATTTTAACTGATTAAGGATGTTGTGGCTACTCCCAAACCAAATTAAAATTATAAGATCACTAGACAATTATCAATTCCTTGCCTAACCTATATAATTTTAACTGATTAAGGATGTTGTGGCTACTCCCTAACCAAATCAAAATTATAAGATCATAACTTAATAATCTTAGGTAGTTGAATATGCTGTGGTTATTTCTTAATTAACCAATCTTGAAAACTTAAGAGACTTAGTAAATTAAAGATGCTATGGCTATTCTTTAATGAACCGAAATCAAATCACATTGGCAAGAAATACTTAAAAAAAAAATTGTATCAAACAGATTATACCAAATTGTGATGGGAAAATCTAAATATACTCAAGGAAAAAATGGTTAGAGACAAAGTCCCACTGAATACCAATTCTTTAAATAGAGTATCAATTTAAGGAGACTAGTGACACAAGATGTTCTTAAGTCATGACCATTAAAACTAGTATGCCTACCCGATTCATATATACTTAATGTATAACTGTTTGGAGTATGAACCTAAAAAGGATATACACCAGAAGATTGTATGGTTTACCTATGATTTAAGCTTAAATGGTAAACTAAATTAACGGACTAAACGTGCTTAAATTCAGGCACTACCGCAACTAAAGTTTATGCATAAGTCCAACTTAATAGAAACTAATATAATTCCATCCCAAAGTATGCATTGCTAAAGGCATAATAAAAAATTGCATAATTTAAAACAAAATATTATGCTTAAGACAAGTATGCATAAAACTAAACATTAAACTCATATATATTCTAAACAAATTGCATAACAATTTAAATATGAGCTTAATTTCAAAATATAAAATTTAATATTCAAAGTACTAATATGAGCCCAAACCAAAATGACCGGGTTGTTATATCATGCACCATGGTGCATGATCAATCATGCACCGCGCGTCTAGACACTACAGTGTGTCTAAATCGACACTGTCTCACGTATTATTTTTATATTATCAAATGAAACTACAGTTATATTAAAATGATACTATAGTTGTGGTGAAATGAAACTACAGTATATATAAAATGAAACTAAATAACATTTCACATATTTGAGTGTATATTGTACAATGAAGCTGTAATTATATTGAAAAGATCATGTAGTTGTGTTTTAATGAAATTATAGTGTATATAAAATAAAATTAAATAACATTTTCACATATTTGAGTGTATAAATATTGAATGAAACTGTAGTTATATCGAAATGAAACTGTAGTTGTATTGAACTGAAACTGCAGTGTATACAAAATGAAACTGAAGAACAGAGTTATTTTTTGCAAAGATTCTGTTTCTTTTCATTAAATAAAACGACGTCGTTTGACAGTATCGGTTTAGACACACTGTAGTGTCTGACGCGCGGTACATGATTGATCCTGCACCTTGGTGCATGATATAATTTGCCAAAATGACCCAGCTTTGAATAATGAATAAATATTTTGAAAAATTCAGACTGTAAGCCCATAACAAAATGTTTTAATACATAAAATCAAACTTGTGAGAAATAGTATTGAATTTACAAATTCAAACAATATCATGCCAAAAGTATAATTGTCATTTGTAAATTAAAGTCTCACAAATCTTAATTACATAATTAAACTTAATATTATGCACTTAATGTGAATGAATGCATAAAACTATCTAAAGAGTATAAACCAACTAAAGAGCATGAATTTATAACATTTCAATTATTCATACTTAACCAAATATGGGCAATAAGAACTAAAATCATAATTCAAAGAACTAAATGAATTATGGAATTAAGGGCAATAGTCAAATGCCTATATGTTTTTCCAAAATTACCAAAGTGATTCAGAATCACTCTCCATAACCTAGTTAATAATAATATTATTATTAATGCCACAATTACAAATAACCAAAATAACAATAAATAGCCATAATAATATTATCACATTAAGTAGGAGACTAAACTTGGAAAACAATAGTTAAAACCACTAACGTTTATAAACATTTTCAGATTTAATTTTGAAAACTTAATAAAATTTAAAGTCCAAAAGCCATTACAATATTAATGTCACATAAATTTATTTGGAAACAGATCAAGGTACATAACTGAATACCATAACAATATTAATGTCATCATTAATTAATTATTAATATTAATAAGTAACATTATAATCACTATTAACATTAATAATAACGACAAATCAAAGTATGGGAATGCACATTTTAATGTTTTCATTTTTCTAAATAATGAAATATGTGACTAGCCCAAATTAGCGGTTAACTGTAACTGTAGCACTAATTAACAATAATAACACTAAAAGATGCACTCATAGGTAACTTCACGTCGCACATAGAATACGATGAACAACCTTAATTAGCTAGCTTCGTTTTGGTTTTTTTGGGGTGTTTTTAATGGATGTTTGTGGGACGTTGGATGGAGGGAGCAGTGATAGCGGGGATGGAGAGGTTCATGTTCAAAGGCGTGGCGGCGAACGTTGTATGTTTAGGAAATTTAATACTGAGTATACATATATTATGAATGGAACAATGAAGTAACGTGTGAAATATATATATGTCGGGTTTTGAACGATGATTCTGACCAATTACAGGAGCTGATAGCGTTGACATCAACGGCGATGGGTGGTCCTGGGCCTGTTTATAGATTTTTGTAGTCCCGTTTTATAAATAAATGGGTCAGTGTCAAATTAGTCGGCAAATTATGCCCTGGACCCGTGTCCATAATGAATTGTGGACACGGGCCCAAAACGACATCGTTTTTTTTAAAAAAAAACGCGTCATTTAGTTAAAAAAAAAAATTTGCGCGCGTTTTGCCGTTAACGACGTTATTTTTTTTTTTTTTTTTTGGATTATGAATGTACAGTTATGCCGTTATGAATGTACAGTTATGCCGTTATGAATGTACAGTTATGCAATTATGAAATTATGAACACAGAGCTCTAACATTATGAACATATATAGTGATAAAATTATGACCATGGAGCTTTAAAATTGTGAATATAGAGCTTCGAAGATTATGAATGTACAGTTATAGAGTTATGAATCTACAGTTATGGAGTTATGAATCTACAGTTATGAGATTATGAATCTACAGTTATGGAATTATGAATGTACAGTTATTGATCGAATTATGAACAAAGAGCTCTAACATTATGAACTTACAATTATGAACATATAGTGATAAAATTATGAACATAGAGCTCTAAAATTGTGAACATAGAGCTTCGAAAATTATGAATGTACAATTATGGAGTTATGAATGTACAGTTATGACGTTATGAATGTACAGTTATAGAGTTATGAATGTACAGTTATAGAGTTATAAACGTACAGTTATGGAGTTATGAATGTATAGTTATTAACATATAGTAATAAAATTATGAACATATACTTCTATAACAAAGTGGTCTGAAATTAAAAAAAAAAAAAAAAAAAAAGGAGATAACAGTGCCTAACGGCACTGTTTACCCGTGTCCAGCAAGCATGCTGGACACGGATCCAAGGCATAACGATTGAAATTAGTCCAGTAAAGTTTCAATTGTTTTAAGAAAAATACTACATGTACTCTCATTTCTTACTCCCAACTTGTACTCCTCCTCACAAATTATTGATGTAAACACATTCCCTGGGACCCACATGATAAAAATAACCAATCTTTATTTGTCATGTCATGGAGTACAAGTGATGGAGTAGAATTTGGGAATACATGTAGTAGAACTCTTTTTTTAATTTGTTGCTAGGCTTCAAGAAAAGCCACTGTGCAGTGAAGATTCAGATGAAGATGACAGTAAGAGAGCGAAGAAGATGGTGCAGGACAGTGGCGGCGGCACCAATGTCGTGATGATTGCACGAGTAGTGATCCGTTTATTACCTGTCTGGACGTTGCTTTTAACGTTCGCAGTGATCTTCCAGCAACCAGCGACATTCTTCACCAAACAAGGCATAACGATGAGGAGAAACATCGGACCCAATTTCAAGATCCCACCCGCCGCGCTTCAGAGCGCGATCACAGTTTCCATAATTCTGCTCATGCCTCTGTACGACAAGTACTTCATCCCCCTGGTTCGCGTCTTCACTATCAACGACAAAGGCGTCACCGTGCGGTAAAGAATGGGGATCGGAATGTTTCTCTCGGTGAAAGCCATGGTGATTGCCGCCGTCACTGACACAAAGAGGCTCAAAATCAGCAGAAATCCCCAGAATCTAAGCTCAGAAACAGTGCCAATGAGCATATTCTGGCTGCTTCTGCAGTACATTCTCCTCAGAATCTCCGACATCTTCACCGTGGTCGGGATGCAAGAGTTTTTCTACTCCGAAGTCCTGGTGAACATGAGAACCTTAGGGATAGCTCTGTACACTAGCGTCTTCGGTTTCGGAAGCTTCTTCAGCCCCCTGCTTATCTCTATTGTAGAACATTTCACCAGCTCCACGGCAAATCCAATCGCTATGCTATGGACCCGTGTAAGCATGCATGCTGGACACGGGTAACAGTGCCCGGCACTGTTATCTTTTTTTTTTTTTTAATTTTTTTATTTAAAAAAAAAAAAATTTTCAAATCGCTTCGTTATAGAAGTACTAGTTTTTTACGCGCATTGCGTGATTGGGATAATGCCCAATGCTTTTTTTTAAAAAAATAAGTACTTTAAAGTATATTAAGGCAGGATTATATTGAAATTGTTCATGCATAGATAATTGAAGGTTGAATTTGCGTATTTAAATAGGTAATTCTTCTCCCAAAGATTGAGTCTCCAACCCCAAGGGCCCCCCACACTCCGACCCGACAGAGCATTGTGGGAGGTTGTAAATGCTGATACGCACAAGGAATCTGCCCACTTTGGACATAATTCCCGCACTGCCGCCGCCGATGTTCAAACCTTGGTCTCTTCTCCCAAATACTACCCACTAAACCATTGAGCTAAGCCGGTGCGGGTTAAATAGGTAATTCTAAGTTTACAAATGCAAGATAATATAGTCAAGATTGATTATAATTGTCAATAAAATAATTGTATAGGTATGGTTGAAACCATATACGGGACATAAGGGAGAACAAATAAAAATTAGGGCATAAAATATTAAATATATACTAATATTGTTTGAGGAGATTCCGACATTAGGATTTGTGGTTAAGCTCTATTAAGACTTTAATATTAGAATTAGATTAATGGGTGTATTTATAATTCTATATTAGACTTTAATATTAGAATTAGACTAACGGTGAATTAACGGAAAAATTAAATGGATAATCATATAATTAAAGATAAATTAAAAAATCTTAAAAGAAAAAAATTAAAACCTGAACAATATGAACCATTCATTTGATTTAATAATTTGGCGGTCATTTTTTATACCCAATGTTAATAATTAAATAAATTCGCTGGTCAAATCCGCTAGTATAATCCGTTAACGCTAACTGCTAACTGCTGATTGTCAAACAAGGACATTGCGAGGTAGTTCTCACTTCAATTTGTTGTATGATTTAAATACTCTCTTTGTCACAAAATCTCTCAAGTAGTTAATATGGTTGACTTTATTAATTATATATTTTTTTAATTTTTTCATGGTATTAATAAAATACTTGGTAAATAAATATATAGCATTATTTTGTATTATAACTTTGATATTTAATTAGAAAAATACTGCACAAAAAAGATAATAGATAATGCAGTGAATATAATCAATTAATGAATTTGAATGTAAAAATTTTTACATTTGAGAAAAATAAAGACAATATAACTAATGAAAATATTTCTTTTAATTAATTTATTGATAATTAATAATTGTTTTTTTACTGAATAAAGACATTGTAAGGATAATGTAGTGAATATAATCAATTAATAAATTTGAATATAAAAAATTTTTATATTGAAGAAAAATAAAGACAATATAACTAATAAAATTATTTCTCTTAGTTAATTTATTGATAATGAATAATTTTTTTTTTTAATAAAGACATTGTGGACACATAATTATAAATTAAAGGAATGCATATGTATTATTTTTTATTGTAACTACTAAATTATTATTTATATAATTTAATAAGAGTAAAATAGAGTACTAATTATGCCAACTTTAATTGGGATGAGATTCGAACCTAAGACCTTTTTCTATTGAAATCAATGAGTAAGTTAACGGTGAACTAACGGCAATTCTTAAAATTTTAACGGAATTAGTAACGGTGTGTGGGTATTTTAGAAAATTTTAGTGTAAAATTTAAATCTGATCAATCTTTCAATCAATTTGAGCCATTCATTTGATTAAAATCTGTGACCGCCATTTTTTCTACCAATTATAGGCCTAACTCTCTTGGGCTCTTATTAGTATAGTAGATATGTTCATAATTTTATTACTATATGTTAATAACTGTACATTCATAACTCCATAACTGTACGTTCATAACTCTATAACTGTACATTCATAACTCCATAATTGTACATTCATAACTCCATAATTGCACATTCATAATTTTCGAAGCTCTATGTTCACAATTTTAGAGCTCTATGTTCATAATTTTATCACTATATGTTCATAATTGTAAGTTTATAATGTCAGAGCTCTTTGTTCATAATTCGATCAATAACTATACATTCATAATTCCATAACTGTAGATTCATAATCTCATAACTGTAGATTCATAACTCCATAACTGTAGATTTATAACTCCATAACTGTACATTCATAATCTTCGAAGCTCTATATTCACAATTTTAAAGCTCCATGGTCATAATTTTATCACTATATATTCATAACTGTAAGTTCATAATGTTAGAGCTCTGTGTTCATAATTTCATAATTGCATAACTGTACATTCATAACTAGGGCTGTGCAATACCCGAAATACCCGAAGAACCCGCCCGACCCGAACCAACTAGTACCGAATGGAGATGCAATCCGACGGGTTCGGGTCATATCTGAACCGACCCCAAGCAACGTGGCAATTAAAGACGGACGGGTAAAGTTAGGAAATATCCCATCCGAACCCGTCCGAGATCCGAAATATGGCCTAAGTATAAAACGTTGCGTAGACCTAGGGTTTGCCATTCTCTCATTCTCCACTCGGCCACTCCCCACTCCCCAGAGCTTCTTCTCGAAATCAGGAGTCCATAGAATGAGGAGTTCATGAATCATGAATCCTGATTATGGAATACATATCACTATGACAGTGTATGGCCTTATGTGTGCTTGTGTGAAATTTGAATCCTATTTGCTCATCCATAAATCTTTATAGATGGAGAGCAATCAAAATATAAGTGGAAGTGGAACTGGACCTCTTCCATCTTCAACAGTGGATGAACAAGGAGTACAAACCCCAGGCATTGAGACAAGTGCTCAACAGCCTATGGCCACTCCTAAAGTTCCTGCTGTTAAGAAGAGGAAGGAAATAGAGTCTAGATCCATAGTGTGGGAGCACTTTGAACAGATCAAAGATCCTGAAACTCAAAAAGTTCTTAAAGGCAAATGCCTTTACTATGCAAAAGAGTATTTTTGTGAAACTAAAAAACATGGCACATCATCATTAAGAAATCATATGGGCAGTTGTCTTAAAAATCCCCATTCAAAGGATATAAGGCAGTCTCTACTCACATTCAACACTCTGTCCACTTCTGAGGGTGGGACAGAGGCTCCTGTGGGTGTTTTGGGGACATGGGTATTTAATCAAGATGCCATTAGGAGGGCCCTTTGTGAGATGATAATCATACATGAGCTCCCTTTTAGGTTTGTAGAGGGCCAGGGGTTCAAGAGGTTTATTCTGGTTGCTTGTCCTAGGTTTCTTATCCCTTCTAGGTGGACAATTTCTAGGGACATCTACCAAATATTTCTTGATGAGAGGCTAAACCTTAAGAAGTTGTTTAGAGTGGGAACTCAAAGGGTTAGTCTAACAACAGATACATGGACTTCTGTCCAGAGAATGAACTATATGTGCATTACTGCACATTTTTTAGATGACCAGTGGAAGCTTCAAAAAAAATTATATCCTTTGTCCCAGTTTCTTCTCATAAGGGGGAGTACATTGCAAAAGCCCTAGAGAGTTGTTTATTAGAGTGGGGAATTAAGAATGTGTTTACTGTAACAGTAGATAATGCCTCCTTTAATGACACAGCTATGGGGTTTTTTAAGAGTAAACTGTTATCTTGGGGTTCTTCTTCTGTTAAGGTTCAGTACATGCACATGAGGTGCATAGCCCATATCCTCAATTTAGTGGTCCAAGATGGGTTGAAGTTTGCAGATGAGTCAGTTAAGAGGGTGAGGGATGCAGTGAGATGGGTTAGGAACTCACCAGCTAGGCTGACAAAGTTCAGAGAGTTTGCTGAACTGTTTGGTGTGGAAGCTAAATCAGCTTTGCATCTTGATGTCCCTACAAGGTGGAACAGCACATACATTATGCTCAATATTGCAATTCAATATCAAGTAGTGTTTGATGCATATGAGAGAAATGACCCCTCTTATTCTGCTGACTTGGGGAGTGCTCCTACCTTCTTGGATTGGTGTTCTGTGGAAAGCTTAGTGAAGCTGTTGAAAGCATTTTATGATATGACAGTGAGGATCTCTGGTTCACTTTATGTCACATCTAACACATTCTTCTCTGAGATCTCTGATCTTAGTTGCATGCTTGAAGCTATGGTGAACTCTGAGCAGGGGACTGAAAAGGTAATCTCATTTATCTTTCAATTTGTTTGCTTATTGTATTTTGTATTTCCTATAATTCTGTTAACAAATAAATTGTTTTTTTTTTCTGTTTTAGGCAATGGGGACACAAATGAGGAACAAGTTTTACAAATATTGAGGGGATCCAGAAAAAATGAACTCTATCATTTTTTTTGCCAATATTCTGGATCCCAGAGATAAGTTGGAGTACATGCCTCATCAATTTGTCCAGTTGTATGGAGAAGAGAAAGGCAAAGCTTGTTTTACCAAGTTCCAATCTGCAATGGCTGCTTTATATGATGACTATGCAGCTACATACTCTCTCAGTTCTACCCAGATAGCATCCTCTACTCAAGTAGTCCAGTCTGAGGCTAACCAGGCTACTACTTGTACAGTTGGTAGGCCTCAGTCATCTTTGAAGAGCCAACTTAAAAAAAAAAAGAGATTGGAAAGTAGTGGAAGCAGTAATCAAACTGAGCTGCAAGTATACTTAAGTGAAAGTCTTGTGGAGGATGATGAATCTGTCCCATTTGATGTGTTAAAGTGGTGGAAGAGCCATAGTGAGAGATTTCCTATTCTCTCCAAAATGGCTAGAGATGTCCTTGCAGTTCCTATCTCCACAGTTGCTTCTGAGAGTTGTTTTAGTACATCTGGAAGGGTACTTGATCCATTTAGGAGTTCCTTGACTCCTAAAATAGTGGAAGCACTAATATGTACTCAAGATTGGTTGAGGGCACCTAATCAGCCAATCCAAGTTGAGGAGAACCTGGAGGAGGTTGAAAGATTAGAGAAAGGTAACACTTATCACTTTCATAGTTACTTTTTTTTTTTTATTCTACTAAGTTTATTTCCTTTTCACTTTCTTTCTTACTTATTATGTTTTTCACTTTTGCAGAATTGCCCACTGGAGCTTCATCTACTATACCATCAATGTTTCCTACAATCACTGTAATGTTTTTAATATCAGTTTACAATGTGTTCATTTCTTTAATGAGTTTGATATTCTGTTATGTACTCATGTTGTTGCAAGTGGTGTTTAGTCTCTAATTGGCTTGGCAACTTTCTGTTATTGATTTGTTGCTGCCATTAGATGAGTTGAGCCCAATTTTACACATTTCTCTGCACTCTGGAATTCTGGTATACCTCTTCTGTTTTCAGTTTGAATGTATTTGTTTTATTTGGTGGCTATGATGAAGCTTCCACTATTGTCTGAATAAATGGAATGGAGTTGGTATGTTGCCAATGTGTTAATATAACACATTCAGAGCAATTTGCCCACATTCTTACTTGATATGGAAAAATGCACTCTGAGCCACTTAGCGTAGTGTATAATTGCTTAGTATTGTTACTCTAAATGTCTGATTGTCTGTTTTCTAAACTCTAAACACTAATATCATTTTAAGTTTGAATACTAGCAGGAAGAATAGTAGATTATCTAGATGACTAGATTAGTGTTGATTTTGCTGAATTGCTGAAGAAGAACTGAAGAGTACCGGTGCTGACAGCTCAAGTCTATGATTTTTTGTATAATCATTGAAATTCGAAAATATGTAATTATTAACTTAGTTTGAAACTGTTATAGATGTATAGTAGTATGTTTTGCTAGTTGCTACGCTATGGTAATGAAACTCAGTATTACTTTTATCTATTTTAGAATTTTTAGAATTTAGAATTTGTTTTATTTTAATTTATTATATCCGATTTCAATCCGAAATTCGACAACGGATATCCGAAATCCGAACCTATGCAATCCGATAGGATCTCTCCAAAAAATTAAACGGATAGGGGGGTACAAAGAAATCCGAAATCCGATCGGATGGACGGATTGGACATCCGATCCGTCCGAATCCGACCGATGCTCAGGCCTATTCATAACGGCATAACTGTACATTCATAATCCAAAAAAAACTAACGCCGTTAGACCTGGCAATTTGTGTATAAGGGTTCGTTAACGGGTCGACACGATAATAACACGAACACGATAAGACTAAACACGAACACGACACGATAAGGTTAACGAGTTCAAATTTATAACACGTACACGAATACGATTTGTTAATGGGTTGACACGACAAATATATATGTTTTGTTAATAGGTTTCGGGTCGTGTCGACACGAAACACATTTAAACCCACTAAACCTATTAATATATTAAAAAAATTAAAATTTAAAGTTAAATTATATATAAAAGAAATAAAACCTACAATTCAATCCATCAAACAAACTAAAAAAAATATTCAATTTATAACATTTATAAAATGATAAAATAACATCCAAAAATCATAATTAAAGAAGTCCATGCTAGTTTTAGAATAAAATTGAACACAATAAAAATTCAAACTTCATATTGTTGAACATCAATAATTGGTTGAGGATTATTTTAGCCTATGTAGTAAATTCATCCTTAGTCATGTACTCATGTTCATTGTAATCTCATTCATAACAATGGTTCTTAGCGGGTTCTAAACAGGTTTGTGTAAACGGGTTCGTGCAAACGGGTTAACACGATAATATTAACGGGTTAAACAGGTTCTTAATAGGTTTAACAGGTTGACCCGTTAAGACACGAAGCATAACGGGTCCTTAACAGGTCAACCCGTTAATGACCTGGGACATGTTAAGGCTAAACACTAACTTGTTATTTTCGTGTCCGATTTCGTGTCGTGTTAACGGGTCGTGTCCATAATTGCCAGGTCTAAACGCCGTTAACACCATTAACGGCAAAACACGCGCGATTTTTTTTTTTTTTTTTTTTATAACTAAATGACATGTTTTTAAAAAAAAAACGACGTCGTTTTGGGCCCGTGTCCACAATGAATTGTGGACACGGGTCCAGAGCATAATTTGCCCGGCAAATCAGCATGGGTGGTTTTCTGATGATATGAAGGAAGCCCGTTTATTTATTTATTTTTCTTCATTTATTATTTCTTTGATCTGACCTATTAGTTGTGTTTGGGTCCATTATTTTATTCTTTCATTCTTTAGGTCTGGCCTGTTAGGGTTTGGGTCCATCCGTTATTTTAGTTTCTTTATATTAGTATAGGCTCAATCTCAAGGGCTGAGTATAAGTTATGATCACTTTTGGACCATCAGTTATAAGACATTTTAATTCCTTTGCTCAATAAAGTTTTGTTTATAAAAAAAAAAAAAAAGGAAGCCCATTTAGATAATTATTATTGTTTTCTCGCGGTGTTAAGTGCTGTCAGCTTGATCTTATTCGTAATCTTCCGTAAGTTTAATCGTAAGGTAAATAAATATTGATTTTGTTTATTTAAATTGGTAATTTAAAGTATATAAATGTAATATAATATATGAGAGTGATTATATTGTCACTAAAATAAATGTAAAAGTATAATTGAAATATTAAGTTTTGTTTTGATCTAAATAATCAAAAGAAGATTTTCAAAAAAAAAAAATAATCAAAAGAAGATTAATTAAACGAAAAAAAATAATAAAACTTAACCTTTTTTTTTTTTAAAGTTACTGGCTCTAGTATCTGTTCATATACTTTCTCAACCTACTGAAACACGAAACACAAAAAACCTCCACTGGGGCTCAAACTCATAATCTTCCAAATGGAAGTCCAACCCGGGTACCATTAGACCACATAGTCCTGGTAATAAAACTTAACCTAAATTTGTGTGTTTTTTTTAATACATAAAAATCAAATGATTTTTAAAATTCTTGATTTATAATCTTTGATTCAAACGTTCCTTCCTTGCAGCCCTTGCCCTAAGCCCTCGGCGCTTGAGAGGACAAAGAGCTGTTCTAGAATATAGGGGTTAGTCGTTTTAAAGTAGGCTAACTTAAACAGGCATCTTTCCATCGGTTTTACGCCTTTTTCTTTAAGGTTTATTTACCTTCTTTGGGCAAAGGATTAGTAAAGCATTCATTAAGCTTCCTTTATCCTCTGTTCTTAAGAGCATCCACACCAAAGAAGATTTCACGGTACACAAGAAATTTTGATCTACATGGAAGAGAGAGAGTGTAGGTGAGAGAATTTTGAGCTCCTCCTGCAAATGTTGGGAAGAATGCAGAATTTGTGGGGCCTACTCAATTTATGCTACTGGTGACAGCCATGCGTGACTGTCACCAATGCGCCCAGCTGCAGGGGGCGCGCCTGACAACCATAAATATTCACTTTTTTTTTTCTTTTTAAAATTCTATTTTGCAATTTTTTTTTTCACTTCCCTCCCATCTTCTCTTTCCTAATCACTCTTACATTATCCACCAATTCTCCCCAACTAGTGTGATGCTCTAACATTGGATAAATAACATTCAATACTGTTAAGGGGATAATGGATGTATAGACTTAAGTTGAATGCACGAACGCATACTCCCCCCGAGGCAAAGGATCTGCTTTGCTCCTGACCCCAGGGGATTGTTAAGGGGGACTTTGAATGTTACGTATTTAGTCGGACTAATTATTTGACTAAAATTTATGTTAAATTTTATATTTATATATTATTTTAATACATTTTAAAATATTCGTAGTATATGTTTAACAATAATCGGAATGAGGTTCGAACCTAAAACTTTTCTTATATAAATTAATGAGTAAGTTAAAAAAAATAAATAGTTAAAAGAATATTCCGTTACTAAAGTTTATACTAACGGAATTTAGGTTATTTAAAGGAAGAAAATAATATAATAAAGGGTAAATAAGAAAAATCATTAAAAAAAAAATAATAAAATTAAAATAATATGAACCATTCATTTTAAGAAACAATAAGAGGGACATTTTTTGATTCCAGCACCTAACATTATTCACTCTTATTAAAATTGTATTGTATGTATGTAGATAGATGTAGATGTAGATATACGAATTACATAAAATTATTAATATTAAGCAAGAAATCTAATTATTGTTGTTGTAGCTTGTACGATGAATCAATCAGAAAGAAACTAGGGACTAGGCTGGTTGGGAATAAAGAGCTCTGATTCCTTGAACATCGTCCTCGTGCAATACTCTGTGCTTGACACCAACATTAATAGATGGCCACATGACAGATTCGGGTACGGTACTATGAGCAAGTCCGAGGAGGTGTCCGATTTCATGCAACGCTACGGACTGGATATCATACTGGTCCTGCGAAGGATCTGCGGACCAAGCCTCGTCAGCATCGATGTGAAACGTGCCGCCGGTGGGTGCTTTGGCGTGGGCCAGGACTCCGGAGGGGCCGTCAAATGGGAGCCCATCGCCGTGATCGCCGACGAACAAAGCAATCTTTAGATCAGCGTTTGCGTAGTCGGTTTCGGCGAACGAGAAATGGCTCTTGGCGGTCCATTCCGTGAACGCCATTGCCACCTGGGGGGAGAACTCCGGAGGCGTGCCGGGTGCGAATCCATATGTAAGGAGGCTCACTCCGTCCGGCCACCTCAGCTCGCCGTCGAAGAAAACGTAACGCGAAACGGCGTGAAAGGATCCGAGCCGGCGGCGGCGACGCTGCATCAAGTTCTGGCCGTTGACTATATCCGCCACCCCACACCGCGGCGTCGCCATCAGCGACACGGTTTCCGCGTCCAAAACTCCGGTGGCATTGAGGCGGTGATTGCTCTGGTAAGTTTTGACGGCTGACTCTAGGAAATCATCGAAACCATCATTTTCCTCTTCTCCATTGATAGTGAAAAAATCGTCCAAATAACCAAACCTTTTAAGATAATTCTTGAGATGTTTTAGCCCTTCAACGTTGTCACCTTTCCGACATCCTTGCAAACGTTTGATAAACTCGAATGCGGAAGGTGGTTTCTCCCCTGCAGCCGGCGCTGTCGGCGGCTCTGCGTGGGAAGGGAATAGGACGAGAAGTAAGCATACACATGAGAGTAGCGGAGAGGCTTTGAGTGACATTGTTAGGTGATATGAAAAACTTGGAAAAAAATTGTAGTATTTATCTTTGATTGATTGATTGATGCGATTTACTTACTATAATTACTTTAAAACGCGTATGATAATTATGCATTTATATATAGTAACGTAGTTATTTATTCCCATTTGCAGTAATTTGATTCCTTTAATTTTGGAACACGTCCTAATAAGACTAATAAAATTAATTTTCTTGTTTTTGCAACATTGCAAACAATAAATCTCATTCTGCAAGCATGGAATCCGTTGTGGATCTTGCTGAGCAAATCGTTTCTTCGTTCCAGACTTCTTTGGCATTATCCATGTACATATATAATGCTCTGTGGATGAACGGACCTGCAAATCCATGA